CCCTGATCGGCTGCCCGGTCACCTCCCACAGAGGGAGGCCAGACTGCAGCTTAGGCCTGCTCTCCACGAAAAGCAGGCCTAAGCCATCATTAGGACATCCCCTGAGGGCTCCCAGACGGTGAGAGGGCGCAGACCAGGCTGAGGAACCCTTCCCTTCAGTGCATGAATTTTCATGCACTGGGCCTCTAGTATATCTATATAGATATATACACACATATCTAAACAACTACATATATATCAATACCTGTGCACATTGAACAATTAACCCCACAGAAACTAAGAAATTTTATAGGAAACCATATAGACTTCCAAAAACTTTCACAATTTAATGTAAACAGTAAAAACATGTTATAGTTGAATTGAAAAATCTTTGCTGAAATAAGATGTTTTAAAAACAGAGGTGCTATGGCCAGGTGGCTCAGTTGGTTAGAGCATCATCCTGTACACCAAAAAGGTTTTGGGTTTGATTCCCTGGTGGGGAGCATATGGGAGGCAGTCAATTGGTGTTCTCACATCAATGTTTCTCTCTCTCTCCTCCTCTCTCCCTTCCTCTCTAAAAATCAATAAAACATATCCCCTGTAAGGATTTAAAAAAATAGGGGTAAAAAGCAACCACTTAACTAGTATGTATCAGACCATTACATACTGATGTACACGTATGATATAAAGTTTACAATAATAAATGAAGAAAAAATCACTGTATAGTAAGAGGGCCTTCACCGCTTCACACTAAAATATTGCACTCTTGTCTACAGAGGGGGAAATACTTAGAAGAAGAGGATGCTAAGAACAGACCTATTCCATGTAGGACCACATCACACGTAATTTTAAACAAGAAGCTTTATGTGTTAATTGTAGAACTAAAAGGTAGTAACAGTAATATGTTATAAATCATTTCCCTCTGCCCTCACAGTGAGGGAGCAAGGCAGCAGTGCGCAAAAGGAGGCAGGTATAGATGCTGGAAAACCTGCATCACATCCTGGCTCTACCCTTGAAGCTGGGGCCTCAGGCACATTTCTTAGTCTCGCTGAACCTTAGTTGTCCTGCCTATAATAGTGTGTTTTTGTGAATACAGTAACAGCAGGTAAATCACCCAGCATGGGGCCTGACACAAAATGTGGTAAAAAAAAATAGCACATGTTATTATCATGATAATTCTAACTATGAGAAACCCACCTTTAAAAAAAATGATTTTAGAGACAGAAAGTGAGAGAGAGAGAGAGAGAGAGAGAAACATAGATTTGTTGTTCCACTTATTTATGTATTCATTGATTATTGATTCTTGTATGTGCCCTGACCAGGGATCGAACCCACAACCTTAGGGTATTGGGACAATGCTCTGAACAACTGAGCTAACCAGCCAAGGCGAGAGAGACCCACCATTACTACAAAAACATCACTGATTGCTTTCAAACCTCCTTCTGGATATTTCCCAGCCCATGGCCAAACCAACTTACCTTAATTATTTCTGGCCTGGAGATGCTACTGACTTGAAGTGATTAAAAACAGACTCATCATGTTCAATCTACCAACTCAATCACATGTTGAAGAAAAAATTTTAAAGGCATCAGCTTGATTAGATTGTAAGGTAATGTGCATTGAAAAATCCTTCTCCATTTCTGAAATATTTCAACCTTCCTCCTGCTTCCACAAGTAACCTAAGGGAGGAGACACAAGTCTGAGTAGCAGATTTGTTCCAACTTGTGCTACATGAGAAGGGGCTCTGGAGAGATGGCATCAGTATGCAGTTAGCCAGAGGGTCCTGAGACCATGGGCAGAACATGGGGACAAACCAATGAGGCTAATGATTCCCCAGGGGCTCTTACACTGGTCTTATCGCCATCTGGTTGTGTAGACACAGCTGTAAGTCCACTGCCTGTGGAGGGAAGGTGTCCCAAAACATCTGTCTGTGCTAACAGAAATGATGCTCAGACACAATGATTTTATAATATGTTTAAAATCAGTTCTTCTGTGTAATTTCCTTGTGAAATCCTTGCTCTCTGAAAACAGGCAATACAGTTTTTATTGCATTTCAGTTGTTTTTTTGGTGAAAAGAAGAAAAAGAAGTTGAAACTTAACTTTTTATGAACAGCCACTGGTGAACTTATATGATATGTCACCATCAGATATGGGTGCTATGTACACATAAACAAAATAATAATTAAAAAAGGAGACCACCTGTTTCAAATGCATTTTACACCATTGATAATATAAACCAGAAATATGTGGCCTACAATATTTAATTCTATTTGTCTCAATCAGGAATAACTATTAATTCATTCTTAGATGAAGATAGGAAAAAAGTGATGTTTTTCATATTATGTGATAGCTTTACATTGATTTATATTTCAGAATATACTGAAATATATTTAATCTACTTTCAAGAGATGTTATTAATTTTTTCTTTTTGTTTCCTAAAAACAATGAGACTGTAGCTTGAGAAACTACAAGGGTGAATCCAACTTCCTATGTAAATAAAAACAAAATTCATAATTCACTTTTAAAGGACATATTAAAAATCTATGTTGAAAAATGACGCATTTGATTCTGGATTTACATGACAACATTTGAAACTAGTGGTCTAGCTAACACAGGCAACCATGCAGAAAGAGTTACAACATTCATAGAAATACCAGAGTAATTCTTGTCAACAGTAACTGCTGAAAGTAAAGGAAGGATGAATAAGAATGGGTTCACAGTTTCAGTGTTGGTAACTTATTATTGAGTTCATGTTTACAAAATCAGGTTTCTTCCAAGCAAAAGCATGTAAAATATTTTCACTGGCATGAAAGAGACTGTATTCTGTTAGATACATGTAGTATTGAAAATCTACCTTGACATATAAAAAAAAAAGTCTGGAAAGAGTAACTTCATTTTCCTCAATAACTCCATTTTATTTTAAAGTCCAGGTAAAAATTCTGGGACCAGTTTACTTTCTAGAACATCATGGCCATGTCAAATCCCTTCCTTTTTGACCCACCATCAACCTTCCAAACAAAATATAAAGCAAAAACCCTGCCTCCAAATAAAATATAAAACAAATTCCCCACTCCTAAACAACAACAAAATGTTGAGCAAAGACCTCAACAATTTTTTTAAAAGTGTGAAAACACAGGTAACATTATTTTCATTCCAATCACTTAACTGATCTGAATGAAAGTTTCACGAATGCTAAATGTTTCTGTGGCTCCAAAGAGAATCCCGCATACAGAATCTAAGGAAAGCATCTGGACCGGTCACCAGGCAGTGGAAGTGCTTGGTAGATGCAGCATTGGGTGAGCAGCATCCTGTCATTGGAAGGCTGCTACACGTCGCTGGGGGACCGCGTTCTCTGGGAGAGGCTGGATGGGATGCAGCCGCAGCAGATGAGGCAGAGGGCTTTCTGGATCTCTTGGTTTCTGAACGCGTATATGACAGGGTTGATGATGGAATTGTAGGTGGCGGGCAGGAGGGTGGCGTAGGTGTAGATGGAGGGATAGGTGTAATCAGCTATCAAGGAATAGAGGGTAAAAGGCATCCAGCAAGCAGCAAAGGTCCCCAGGATGATGGCCAGGGTGGAGACCCCTTTCCGGGTGGTCACATAGTGCGAGGTGGCCAGGAAGTGGTGCTGCAGGGCTATCTGGTGGGCGTGCCTCATGACGATCTTGCAGATCTGGATGTAGAGCTGAAGCATGAGCGCGAACATGAAGAGGAAGGAGATGGAGAGGATGGCCGTGTTGTTCTTGGTGAGAGGTCTGACCACACTGCAGGTGGACTCGTCCCGGAGGCAGTTCCAGCCCAGGATGGGCAGCAGTCCCAGGCAGATGGAGGTCCCCCAGAGCATGATAAGCATGACATAGGTAAAGGTGACTGTCCTCTCCGAATGGTATGTCAGAGCGTAATACAGGGAGAGATAGCGGTCCACGGTGATGGCCAGCAAGCTGCAGACAGAGGCAGAGAAAGAGGCGACAATGAGGCCAATGGTGACCAGCCTGGTGGCTTCCGACTGAAGCAGGTAGGCAAACACAAAATTGATGATGAGTCCAACGCCGGCCAGCAGGTCTGCCAGAGCCAGGCTGCCGATCAGCAGGAACATGGGCGCTCGGAGGCTGGGGTTGTGGAAGATGATAAGGACCACGATGGCATTTTCACAGGAGATGAGAGTTCCTGAGGTGCACAAGACAATGTCCCAGGGGTTCACCACGAGCTCCGGCTCTGGCTCCACAGCGGGAACCTGGGAGGAGACGGCAGCGGAGACGTTCTCCACAGGAGCACCCGCATCTAAGTAACCCCGGAGCAAGCCGCTGAGATTGGCCTGCGGGTCTCCGGTCATTTTAACCCCGTCCTCTTCAACAAAAAGACAGTCTTTTAATGGACAGGCACAGCAGGGGGACAGTCCAAGATCATGCAGAACTACACAAAAAGACAGCCAGCCCCTCTTCAAACACCGCTAGCAAATGCCACGAGCTTCGTGAATGACAAACTGTGATGAAATAAAACAAAAGCCAAAGTCTCCGTGATTTAAGACTCACTATGAAAAATGCCGTGTGGCACTTGGGAAAACACAGGAAAGGACCTCAAAACACGGCTGCCAGTGAGGCAGGCCCCCAGGGGCGGCGCGGTCTGTGTGCTGAAGTGCGGGAGACACACTCCATCCTCTCCCGCAGCCCAGAACGCGCAGCTACTTGCCATCTGGCCGCTGGAGCACCGCACGCCGGCTGCAGCCACAGTCCAGAGCCGGGGTCATCCCGATGGAATATATAAGCCGTCCGATTCCATGGAGCTCCCACCCTCTAAAATATATCCCCGGCGCGCGTGCACACACTCATCCACACCCCCAGCCAGAACAAAGAGGGGTCCGGGCTTCCCCCACGTGCACAAAAGGCCGGTGAGTGCACTGGAGGTGTGGAGACAGGCAGACAGACAGACAGACCGGCCGACTGATGCTCAGACTCTGCAGCCACTCCCCTAGCGGCAGGGACGGGCGGCGGACGCGACGGGGACAGAGAGGGCGCTGGGCCCG